ATACCGGTCATACCGGATTAGTCTATAGCGGGTAATTGACGGTACGTAAACTTGCTTGTTGACGTATCCGTCAGTGCTAGACTACAACGACGCTCCAGACGTCCGCGTGTCTTTTTTTCATCCAATCGCCGTCCACTGAAGTCGATTAAAGTAGGAGTCCCCTTTGAAAAAGCTCTCTTCAATTGCGGAAGTAGAGCAAAAAGCCGACAAGGCGATCCGGCGTAAAACGTCGCCAGAAAATGCAAAAACCAATTACCACCAGTACTCGCGTATCGACTATATGCGCTCCCATTGTTGAATGATTATGTCGATGGGGTGACTTCAGTGGGGGAAAACTAGGGGGTATTTAACTCGGCAAGCAAACGAAGAATGACGCGGAATAGCAGCAACGCAGTGACGTAAACCTGCTATTGCTGATCTAAGACAAATCAGCTTGGTCGGTTAATGACTCGTCCCGGTTTGCGATGTACTGCGAGTACCGCTCGTTGTCTCGATGGCAACGGCCCGCAGGGGCTGCTTTAGGTAGTCGTTCTGCAGACGAAGAGACAAAGACAAAAGCAACAACGAATGAACGCCGCTAGACCGCGTTAACGAGCCTTACGCCGTCGATAGTTCCAAGAGATATTATTATCGTGCAGTTTCGAGACAGGAGGAAAGAATAAAGGAGGCGATACATATGCATGAATTGCCACATCGGCTAGAAACGCTAAGCACAGAAATCAAACTGGCATAAACAAACAAGTATAAAATTGTATTCTATATTAAATTAGTATCGTCATTCGCAGACATTTCTGTGTCTCTATATAATTATATAGAAGAAAGAGTGAGCATGAGAGACAGACCGCGATAGTAACACAGTATTACGCTAGTATACAGCATACCGAATCGAGTGGAGGCAAGAATTACGGTCCAACATGTTCTTGCCATGCTTCACCTAGTTGCAACTGTGTTTGGCATATTGTGCCAATAGGAGATATTGCACTATTAGGATAGCTACATGATTTTCAAATTTGCACATTTTAGCTCCGTAGCAAGGTACGGTATCAACATGTGCACTTTCAATTGAAAATCCAGTATTCAAAGCTCGTTTGAACGTTGTTAAATAGGCTTGTGACATCGCTATATAGAGCTGATGGATTCGTAAAACCTATGTTGGTATTAGCATCTGTCGTTCCCTAATGGCTTTGCACGACGCCTCCGTACACCTTATCTCAGCCTTACCTGTAGCAAAATAATGTGCTCATCGAATAGTAAGGGTTAGTATGTAAGTATGAATCTATTTGTGCATTCTTCTTAGTACCGGCAGTGTCACTAGCTCACAGAAACAGGCAAATGGCCACCCGAATATGTACTACGGTAAGTCTCTCGATATCGCAATGTTGTTCTAGGTACGTAGAGCACGCCAATAATCGTGCACTAGGACACAAACTCACCCGCTGAGGGTTGGTAATGGGGCGACTAATAAATCATCGAAGTAGACGCAACGTACTATCTTCGATGATTTGATAGCTTTAGATGATTGGATAACATGACTGATTTATTGTTATTATTGGCTTAAAAAAGATGTCGGTCGAATTGACAATAACAGTAATATAATGATCGTATACTGTGAAACGAGCGAAAGTCTACATCTCGGGACACGGATTCAAAGATTTTTTTAGAGTAGACATATTTGCATAGGTAGAACATATAATAGATTTGATGTTCGAGTCGCCTATTTGTTTGATCAGATCTGCTCATTGTGATTGCATTAATATGGAACGCCAGTGTGTTGAATAGGACACGACGTCAAGTTGAACATGTAGCCAAGCTGCTGACCCATTTAGTACACAAGAATAGTAACAATATCAGTGCCAATGACAACAATACATGAACACTGAAGTAGTTTTAAGCAACGATAACCCGAACTAGCGTATGGATTACTCGAGTCCTTAAATCAGTTCCACCACGAACAATCTTGCCAGCAACGACCTCCATAATCAAATAGCCAACGTCTCGTACGATCCTGTGAACGGGAGTGGTTTTGTGAGTTGAAATCCGAACTGTCCAGATGTCCTGAAGAAATCTGTGGGCTAGAACCTGTTTTATCGGCTAAAAATTAGTTTCGATCGCTAAAATCTTGAGTTTTTTTTTCTGCTCGAGAAATCCTCAATTTTACGAGGCATCAGGTGAAGGCTGGACGAGTTTACCTATCGAATTAACTTAGTTAAGCCAATTGCAAGGAACTGTAAGGTAGAGCGAACGTTTAAATATTTATAAAAACGTGTCGTCTAGTTAGAATGAATTATAGAGATATATGTCAAATCGCTTTATGATGCTGAAATGAAAAACCCCATGCGATACTACTTCCATATTAAGTTTACCATTACATTGAAATATACGTTGTCTTGGATGAGTCACACATTCAAATTTACCGCCAATATTTTGACGATATCACCTATACTAGGCAACACGTAGATATGCCTATTCTATTGCCAGCCAAGGAGCGCTAATTCAAGTTCCCCCAATGACATACGACAGATGTGATTAAACAACGTCTCCATTCTATAGTTTACTAAGTAGATTATGGACAAATCCAGTAGACTGAAATAGAGATAGTAACGTAACTGGCGAATCAACATCGTGATTTTTTTTATCAGTCTTCTAATATCATTGCCGGAGTTCGTCATTGGATAGGAAATGCTTTTCTACAGACGCATGCTTGCAAATGAACGTGTAGAGCAATTGAAGTTATTGCACGGTAGAGATAAACAATTGGAGAGGTAAGGCATACTTTCTAATGCTGCGATTTGCGAGCATTCTATGCAGATATAGCAGCTGACTCAGCCAATTTTCCCAAGGCAACTTCGACTTAAAGGTAGGGTAGAAAAATACGTGTTTCCGTAAACTCCGATTTCATTAATTAATTCTTGCGGTCAGACGTAAACAGGGCCTAAACAGCGCCAAATTTATATTAAAAATACTTCTACCTACCAACGTGTTAAGACAGCCTATTACGCATAGATGTGTAGTATTGCTCGTTGTTTATTGAAGTATACGCGATTCTAGATAAGTGACGTTAAAAAAGTGTTGTCAAATCTAGCAGGTAGAAGGTAGAACCTTCTTAGTGAAGCTAACAAAATCCTAACATTTCAACCACTTCTACACCTTGTAGTTGGAAACTATCTCTGACTGTCGCTGCAGATATTTGTCAATACAGATTATTTTCTAAAGCCTCTTTCATTATTCGCTCAGGTAATGAAATAGGTTTCAGTTCTTTTTTTCCCCTACCAGCGATACGTTTTTTCGTAACAAAAAAGCACTATTTAAGATTTAGTATTAATTAGTAAACACAATGCAAACTAAAATATGGATTATTTTACCGATTTGATCGAACGAAACGCAGTTGTAGCGAAGAAATAATAAACAATTTAGCTATTGGCAAAAAATGGTTAGGCCAAAATAATGTTTAACTTCATTTTTTCGTTCTCTGTTATTTTTCGCCCAGCAGATCCTTAAAGGCCATTTTGCCTAGAAACTAGTTTAGCGGCTTATCAATGTTAAACTTTTGAAAACCGTTAATTTAGCGTTAGACGACCTTTTGACGGTACTAATTCATGTAACTTACTAACTATACGAAATATACTTGTGCTCATCTATACTAGCTTTTATTGATTGCGCGGAAAAAATCAGATATATCAAAGCTGAAATCTGGTACCTCGTCTTTATAGTCGGCGCGGAATATTATCTATTTGAAATAGCTACGATCGAGTTGGATCGGATCGAGCATCGTGTATTGACACCGAAATTTTTAACAAAACACTCACACGCCAGTCAATTGAGTGGCACACAGTAAAAACAAAGAGAGAAATGCTCTATATGCTAGCTTTAGATTGACGCTAGTTTATAATAGGAAATATGAAATAATTTAAGGAAAAATGTATGTTTTTTCCTATCATTCACAAAGAAATCGAAAAAGTATAGCAAAGTTTTGCAATCTTCGCCAGATGCCTTTCTACATTTAGCACTATGGGTTATTCATCCTGTGTAAACAAACAGTCGGCATTATCTATTTTTTCTTCCTTTCGTATAGCATCAAGGGTTTGTTCTATTAGGAACCTGATCAGCGTGAGCTTTACTGAACTTGGCGAAAATTTTTCCAGCAGATGTGCTATGTTGCAGCTTCTTCTACGTAGTACGATAAGTTTGCATCTGTCTCTCTGGTCCGACTGTTCCCGTAAATGACCAAGACAGCATGGTCGCGTTATCTCCTCTTTTTCTAAATTGGTATGGTTTCGTTGTAAAGTTGTTGAGCTTTTTTTGCTTTGGATAAGTTGGAGCGATTTGCCCTGCAGTTAGGGACAATTTCTAAGGAAATGATGTTAAAAAGTGTTTCTTTTTATCTTTCAAGCTTTACTGTACAAGTTCAACATTGGACTTCCGACGAAAAAGTCAGACTCTTGGCATTTTTACAACTGTAGTATAAATCGATGCGTAGGTTGGAGAAACTAATTCATAACAACAAGAAATTGAAGAAGTTCAATCGGGTATCAGAATGACGAGGCTGTGTCAACGAAGGAGCTGGACTACCTGTTGATAGAATGATGAGACTATAGGAATTCAATATCAACGGCTTCGGATTGAATAGGATTTTCACGATAGTTTGCAGCCGTGTACACGGCCAGCCAACTGTTACGGCTGATACTAATCGTCCACATCCTGGCAGGGAAAACTGATTATGGTAAATTCAATGTTACTTATGTTTGCGGGCAAAACGATGCGGCGCGGAGGTTACTGGAACGTTGTAACAGGAGATGGCGATTGCATTGCAATGGCAGCTATATCGAAACCACTACCATGTAGAACGTATTGAGTAACTACAATATGCTCATAGGAAAACTGGATTGAGAAAAGACAATTGGTTAACTGAATCAGGAAACAGGAACTACCGTATACGAATAACAGCACTAAATTATGGAATTAAATATAATAGTGACTTAATACTAATTACAGAAAGTCTTGGTGCGGTGCATGGAGCAAAATATCAGGGCTGTTGGAACAACCCAGCGGGAGACGGGGTTTTTTTTCTGTTCCTGTGAAACAGAATGACTGCGACAAAATATTTGCTGGTGCGTGTCCGAGCTGTTGACGTTGGAATCGAAGTAATGCCCTTAACTAGTCAGAAAGGGCTAAACGAATCAACGGTAAGATAGGGGCATGCACGGATGCATTGAGTACAGCATCTATTTAGAATTACTCCTGGCGAACGTTGCCTATTATCAAATCTCTACAGAAAAAATTGATCCACTTAAATATTTTTAGCCGTCAAACCGAAGACCTCTGGACGAACGCTCGCCGCACATCTAAATAATACTCCTACAGTAAAATAACATGTGTAGTATTAAGATTCAAATGTTTTGCACTTTCTATATCAGATGTTAAACTTGCTATCAGCATCTTAAATAGTTACAGTTCCAACGTTTGTTTTACTATCGAATATTTTTCTGTGCGATAAACAAATGTTCATTAGTACTAAACGTGCAGCTCACTGATGGCCAATTCTGTTTATTTTAGCGGCGCTGTGATGTTGATTATCATTAGCAGGGGAGAGGGGGGGGAGAGAGAGAGAGGGGTCACTGTTATTTTGTCCGAAATCGTGCGAAACGCGACGAATCCTTCACCGTTTCAACGCGATGTCCATTTAACCTTTCCCTTTTGATCTTTGCTTCGCACTCGTTTGTTGGCCCAGTTAGTTCGCTGGTCTGGATCTCACATCGATTGCCGTATACGCCTGAACCTTTCAGGACTGGGCCACTTCCATGGCCTTCTTCTTCTTCTTCTTCTTCTTCTTCTTCTTCTTCTTCTTCGTTACTGTCATTTCGAGCTGTTAACTGATGAGCAAAACAGAAAAAACGCCACGCACCGATGTCTTGACGTCCTGCTCGTTCCCTCTCCCGTCTCCTCGTTTTTTGCGCATCTCCATGTCAGTTAGCCCATTTGCCACAACGCACATAAACCCCATACACTCCTGTTGCAACGACTGTCTGAACAACAATATTTAACATAAAACCGTATAGCAGCTACACAGGTAAGCTGATCAACAATAACATGCACTTTTATTCTTCTAGCTAGACTTTGTGCGGGATACTATATCGCTCACTTTACCGGCGCACTAAGCGAATGAGCAGATCTCAAGCTATAGACGCCGAAACAAATTGGAATATTAGGTAAGCAGATTTAGCCTACTTCAGCGCCCTCTACCAGTTGATTTTTTTTATCCATATATATACGCATATATTATACTGGAAATAATCGGTCCAATCGTCAACGTTGAAGCAGCGAAACTGAAGACGTTAAAACGAAGCTAAGGGCCTTCATAAATTTGCTTTCATGTTAACGGCTTCCAGAATCACTTACCGACATTTAGCGACGAATTTGTTCTCTTTTTGGATCTTGTCAGACGATATTATCTGTAGAAAAAAGGTAACGGCACTAAGCAACGCAGATGGCTTTTCTTTTAAGGCGAAGTCTGAAATGGAATCGATACCTGCTACTTCTTTTCATACTGCAGAAGCTAGGTTAGGTTAATTGTTCGCAAATAATGCCTGTTCAACGTCAATCGGTATTTTGCGAGGCTTTTTCGTTCGATTTCACGGGTCGAGTTTGAGAATGGAGCAAGAACAGAACTGGCTTTTCCTTTCAGTGAGATTTGTTCACGAGGACACTCGTAGCTGTGCTTGTAAATGAATACTGTATCCGGCATTATACATACGAGTGGGGCGATACATATTTCCCTGACGTTGTTTAGCTTATGATGCATCCGTTATGTTCGTTGTTAAGTTCAATATTAAATAAAGGATTGTCACTTACAAATCATAGGGGAACACGAAGCTTCCCCCTTCTGTGCCATCGTACAGCGAACGCGATCTCTCTCGTCAGGCACTTGAACACTCAGTTCATTCAAATGCGGTCCCACGAACGTTTATGTGGTACTTCCTCCTCAACCGGAATTGCTTTTATAGGCTCAAGATTCTTTGATACCGGCCAGGGTCTTCCGGCCGACTAACGCATGCGGACGTTCCATGTGGCGGGTGTAAATTCAATAGCAAATAGAAAAATCCTCGAAAAAAGTCATATAATGAGTTGCTGGGGTTGACGAAGATTGTACAGGTTCCAGATGTTGCTAAGGGAATCATTTGTGTTTTATTTTCAATTCGCTAGGCCCCTGGATGTCGTGGAAGGCCGCAATTTTGAACGACCGCGAAACTTCCTGAAAATGCTTGGTTGGAATCACTTCAGGACCGACTCTGAAAAACGCTGAGAAGGCTCACACACGCGCGAAATCGAGCCTACCTTATGATAGTCGCATTTCTAAGTAACTGCTCGCAAGCATATGTGTCTCAGTGTTATAGAATATTATAGATTTTAAATTTTACACTGCCGAAGTAATGCTCCTATCGGACTTCCAGACAATTCTAGCTTACGGATCATTGTCACCCGATCGGCGACAGACTGTCGCCGTGCAGAAAGCAAGGGAGCCGTCTGGACGCTGCCGCGTTGTTTTTGCGGTCTGCCATGACATTACAGAGTAACATTGGCTGTTGCGATCGCAATGTTATATTGACAAACAAATATTGGATATATGCGAGCTTCCCATCCGCCACTGGTTCGTCTCGTCTGCAAAAGCCAACTGATTCGGCTGGTTAAAACGATGACAACACAATGGCTGACCGAAAAAGCTAAAAGGAAAAAAACTTTTCCATTCAACACAAGAGCAGTGTTTCTTAGCGCCCAGAGCCGCTAGTCGGTCGCTCATTACTGTCGTCGATCCTATCGTACATGGCATTGACGTCCGACGCGTCCGAATAGACGCACCGGACTGCACTTTCTTTCGAAACGCTATCGTAATCTTTGTTCAGCAGCAGAAGTGATAGAATGTATAGAGAGACTGTACAAAGTGCTTCGGCATCAGTGTACAAGAGTACACTTGATGCGTGCGCGCGTACATATGCGCAAATACCAAAAAACGTTATTTTTCTTCATCTTCAGTCCTCAGAAATCGATCGGATAACTGGAAAGGTGTCTTTGATTCTGATACGGTGCGTCATCTTGAACCAAGGGTTAGTTCAGGTAATTCTGTTTGCGATTCCTTGTCGCATTTATCGATATATGCGTCAGCTTTGTACCGACTCGACAATCTTATTTTGTATCTATTGAAGCAGTGACGTTGTGAATTGATAACAGCAATGGTAGGATCACACACTGGCGACCGCTGTGACGGCTGTCACAGAAACGGTGATTTAAGATCGCTTTCACTTATCCTAACGCTCGAACGACTCTGCTCGGTTGAATAACGTCGCTATCATATCACCGCTTTCCATGAGCAGATTCTGTGGGCAGACAACAGGACGGCAAAGGGAGAATTGCCCGTATTATTTTTGACATGTTTATTTTGCTATTACTTTAAATTTACCTCTTGTCATGAATAAAAAATCACGTTTTAGTGAGCACGTAATGACGGTAAATTATTTGTTAAACAATTTAACGTTTATAATGAAATCAATTATATAGATGTATATTTAGAGGTTTATTGACCATTTTATGCTGAACTGATGACTCAGGCAGCTCAGAGAGGTTTTTGTGAAACTTTTTTTTTTCCTATCCTTTGAAAACTGCTTACTATTATTGCAGTGGACAATCGATCCGTATTCAAGGACACGCTGTGTTCTAGAAAACGGATTGTCTCTTAAGTGGGACTTTACAATGGTGCTGTAGTATTTCGTTTCTGTTATTCGCCATTTAGGATAATTGAGTTTCTTTTTTTTTTTTTTTTTCTCTTAATTTACAGGTAGAGAGGTGTTTGTACGCGGACCGATCGCTACGCGTATCTTCGAAGCGTCACCACGATGGGGACCGATGGAAATGATCGAGCGTTTATTAGCTAGAACCCACACTAGGCCGGTTCTAGCAGATACTAGTTATCTTTCTCATAGAGGCAAAACAACATTTCAGCGCGTCCAGAAACATCAACAGAGGAGTTGTTCTTATAAACTTTCAGTGGGCAAACGGATGCATTGCGTCAACTGGCGCGTTTCCTAGTTAACTGTACTGATAGAAGACGATAATACGAGTAGCAGTGGTGCAACAGGTGGAATATATAGTAAATACATTGCTTGATTTATCGTTAGGTAGTACCTGAACTAATAGGATAGTTATATGCGTGTATAATCATAATATAAGAGCTGATATTGACAAATCAATTGTTCGACGCGGCCAAAATGGACTCCGCTAACGAACGTACGTTACACTGACGCCAAGGGACGTTTTTTTAGCTATGGCCTGTGGGACATCGAGAAACAACTGTGGACGACAACGCATTGCTTACAGCAGCCGTTGCCATGAATAATGGCAGCGAGCCAATAGGCGAGTGGTACAAAAGCCACCGGATATGCATATTATAATAATAGAAAAAGATGATACCAAGAGATTTGAAGGGATCCTTCAAGTCCATCGATTAATATTCCGATAGTCGGATTGTTGGTGTTTTTTAGACGTCAATGTAACTAGATAACTCCCGCAAAAAACTCTTGCCATTCATTGTTAGATTCTTTGCCGTCAGCTATAGGGACGGCCGTCTGGTCCGCACCAACAACTAAATCTATTTATATAACCCCATATTTATTACGAACCTTGTACGATTTAAACGTTTGCCTAAATACAACATTAATAAGATGAAATCCTTTGACTTTCTTCGTCATTGTTGTTCGCTCCGTCCTGTTCTCAGCCGCTATTCGGCGTACATATTGGGACGCGACACGGATATTTATCTTGTATTTGTCCACCGTCCGTGGATTGTCGTAGTATACTTTGCTTTTTAGGTGCCACACAAAAAAAGCCAACGTTGGACGGAATTGTGTCGCATGGTTTGAAGGGCCATCTATTTTCGCCCGGTCCTACCTCACCGAGGTGAGGTAGTAGCCTTTAGTAGCCCGATTTTGCTATTAGTTACGTGGAAAAGTGGACCAGCCTGCTGAAAGCGCAAGTCCTTTTTTCGAAGCCCTTTTAACAAGTTGCTGCAAGCAACAAGAAAGCTTGAGATCGTCGTAAACGGAAGTTTCGTCTTCGAAAAGAGCGCTGCTGGTCCCCCTGGCCCACATGCCAGCCCGTGCGATTTTCTTAGTACTCCCTTTGTGGACACTTGGCCCATGACAACCTAACGGCTCAATCATAATTCGATTTTTTGACTCAGCTTAGAAAACAGGAATCGAACGAGATCTATAAGGGTTGTCTACCACATACACTTATGAAGCATGGCAAAGATAGAAAAGGAACCTTTTTAATCATATTTTTTGCTTACCTAATGATGCTTGTCAGTGCGTTTAATCTCTACATACTCGACAGATTAGACGTTCCGACCTCTTAGTTAGATTGCTGGATGATGCATCACGCCCCATATGCAACTGAAGAAAGTAATTGTGCTGATAAATTATAAGTGACATATCGTTAAACACTAGAGGTTCTAAATTGCTTACTGGTAAACTCGAACCCTTGAAGAGTTGAGCTCAAAAGGATTGGCTTTTGAGTATTCAAGGTTTACCAAACCCTATTGAGCCGTTCCCCAAAACTGTCATCGTGTGTGAAAATAGGCTGTACAGATATTGGCGCCTATACACACACACAATCGCATTTAGTTACCCACCCACAAGATGTTGAAATACACATAATACATTCAGTCAGTTGAAACGCAAATAAGTAAGTGTTTCCAGATTTAGCTCACCACGATTGCTGTCATATTGCCAGACAAAAATCTCAGCTCCACGACTGATCAATACAATGAAACGAGCGCATATACAAAAGGATCATACGCCGTAGAGGTTCTGTTTGTTGTGAGCTGGAATTCTATTACGGTCAGGAGAATGGGAAGGGAGGGGGATCATTGACAAAAGAAGCCTTAATGATAATGGTTCTGCTGCAACGCTTCTGAGGCGCTTACGTATACTTCGCTCAGTCATACTAATAAAGCCGATACCGTTCTACTGCAGGCTTTGTCGCTTGCCGGCGCTCCAACGCATCAAAGTGCGATAGTGTAACAAAAAATAACAACTACAATAGAACTATGAGGTGAGACTTTATCGGGGCAGTTCGCCGTCAGCTGCTGAGAGCGCTCACGACGCTAATCACGATTCTCTCTTTCTTTTCGAACTGAAGCCAGTTTCGTGGCTAGTGCTATTCGTGCGTCTGCTGTATAGCTTGTCATGTTTCGTTGATTCTATTTTTCCCTGTTATTTTTTTTTTTTTTTTTTTTTTTTTTTTTTTTTTCGATACTCTCTCCGGCCTCAGAAACTCAAATGAGGACATTGAATAAATTGAATGAATAACAAAAGCAACAAGAGGTACCGATAGAAAACGGGCTAGCGTTGACTGTGTCATTAAATAGCCATACGAGATAAATCGAGCACGTTAAATTGCGTTCTGTTATCGGGAAAAAAAGCGAGCCACAGTTACGCCTATCGTAACACTCAGCCCCCGGCTGATTATTTCGGATTCAATACGAATGTTGGTCGAGCAAAATTAACAAAAACTGCAGTATTGAACAGGTGTGAATATAAGTGTGTTTATCGCGTCACCCTATCGACGAACGCGCAGCGTATGTAAAGTAACATTTTTTTTTTTCTAAAAAACAAACACATAAATAAGACGTGACCACCGAAAATAGGCGTTGAAAATATACATTTTTTTTTGTTCCAACCATACGTACAAGATGCCCGAAAGCGTTACCGAATACTGGGTGCGTAAATGTTATAATACAGAAAGCAAGAAGTAGGCGCATTACAGATAATGTAAAAAATCTAGAGGGACGTTTTAAATGCATCCTCAAGTTTGGAGATGTTAGCAATGTTTCAAATTAGAGAACTTCTGATTGAATTGCTTCTTTGATCGCGTTTTTCAGCCTCGTATGTTAGAGCTTTATTGCCTAAACCACAATAAGGACACGCCACTTGTCGCTTAACGATGATAATTATAAGAATAAAAATGGTAGTGCTAATAATGAGGACAATAGCTGTCCTTAGACGCGGCAACATCTACGACAACCCTCAAGTTTCCAATCGTCAAAGATGAACTACTTTCGATCTATTCGCTTCCCCAGCGCAGATCATCACGGGCATAGAAATCGTAGGATATAATTGATGCAAGCAATAGCTGATCGAAGTTAAACGAGCAGTTAACATGCAACAAGCAAATAATAGGCGGTGTAAGGCTGATCTGTAGAGGGCTGTTGTTGGCTGTCGAACCAATCGAAAATTCCCTTGCAGCCGTCACGGACTCAATTGCACAGACGCGGCAAAAGGCTCACATATATTCGGTATCCACTCTACGCGTGATTTATTGCGGACCTGCACTTGATCGGCCAACAATATACATAATTGTAGCTTAGTTTGCCACCATATATTGTCAATGACCTTCTTTGTTTTTCTTCCATCAGAGAATAATGAGTCTGTGTACAGTGCTGAATTTTACTGCACTATAGTTCATTTTTCATTTTCTATATGCCTATGGACGCTGCTATACTATAAAGTCCATGCGTATAAATACATTGCTATATATATATATAAAGTTGAAATAGATTTTGTAAGCGATCACGTAGTTTAAGATAATATCGTCAGAACTGTTGCAGGCTTAAACAGTTCGATGGAAATTAATCAGATTAATCAGGAACATACCGCGTAAGAGACTCATATATATAAGTAATTTTTAAGGTCACGCCTGTGTTCTTAATTTCGAATTTTTCGGTGTTCCGTTGTTTGTTGCCTGAAACGGCCAGTTGACATTCACGAATGAGTCAACATAGTCAAATAAGAATATATCCGATAATAGTGAATTCTACAGTCTAATTTCTCTTAATAGTAGATGGCCATATGCGTCATATACATAGTTATGGCAATATAGTCATTTCTATGACCGGTAGAAGGTCTTTTAATTGGATGAATTTTTAAACAAGGTGCGTGTAGCTGCAGCTATATGTTTTTTTCAATGACGTTCAAAATAAGAAGTGAAAGGCATTTATCACTTGTTTTAAAATGTATAGTTTTATTCAAGAGTCAACTGTCAATGAACTGTAATCATGGCAGTGGAATGGAGGCGGTGCAAACTGTAAGCTTTTTCTCAAAATCGAGTAAATACAGGAACGCCAAGAGTTTATCCTATCCTTTCGGTACACCTGATTGCCGTCTAGTTTCGATGAAATCGAATATTAACAGATAGAAAAAAATGAGTAAAAATAGAACAAAGGAGGACGCATTAAATTTCCCATTAGCCGTCGTTAAATTGCATTGGCTGGTTCGTCTGTTGCCAGAAATGACCGAAATTTAACGAGAGTAAAACTTTTTAGGGGAAGCAACGATGGCGGACGATAATTTTCATTAATTTTTGACCTCGATTTTCGACCTGTTTGGCTGCATCGTTTCGTCCCTGCCGTCTCAATAGATTTTGCAGTAATAGAGTAGGATATCGTTGTATTAGCTATAGGCTTTACACTATAGCTATAGGCATCTGCCGGGTCCAATACTGACATTGAACAGACTCCCAAAATGGGTGTTATTTCTATACGCCAATGAAATATTTCGCTCTATTTAATCAGATGCTGTAGCATTGCACTATTTCAATTTATACTACGTGTAAACATATGCGGCACAATAACAGTGACTCCACCAATAAATCTTTATACGAAGATCAAATTAATGTTGAGAAAGATTGAAGACTAAGGCCAAACTCCCATATCAAGTTCTTGCTTCGGCAGTCAAACTTATCAATTTTACTATGAATTCACTGTGATTGAGTCAGGTATGCTTGGAAATCGGTACGACTGTTAGAATACGCTATACGTTGCCTTTTTAACCGGCAACAAGTGAAACATGACTTTGATATAAAAATAAGGTCATTTAAAAAAGATAATTGATTATTTCGATGACTGCGTGTATGCTATGTTTTCAGATCTGAACGCTTGGCTGCTTCGGGTGCTCTATTTCGTGTCAGAGCGCCGATCGTTTGAGGTCAGAAAAGCGAACTTGGCGTACACATTAAAACAAAGAGAAACGGGCCTTCCGTCAATGGGCTGAAAAATACCTAACCAACGACTGAACAACCTGCAGAAGATAAAACAATAAAATAAAATCTCAGCTCCGAGTGTAATCATTAAGTTTTAAGGACAACTACTCGAATTTGTTGAAACTGAAAAAAATGTTTACAGTGAAAAATCTGTTCAGGGAGGATTACCACTTTAGAAGTGACCCATGCGTTCGTAGAATTTGCCCAGTGGGCTTGCTATAGGACAGTTGTGTGCTTCAAATAAACATATTTCAATTAAAACGATTAAGGAGTCATCTTAAGTTCTACGTAAGTACGTTAAGTTAACTCAAATAAATTTCGGCTTCCAGATAATGATTCACGACTGCAGCCACGCTTTTTTTTCTAATTCGTTTCGATTTACACACAAAGCTACAGACAGACCGATCAATAATACCCGTAACCTGTTAAACGTCTTTCGTAACTCGCAATTAGATTATGTCCAGTTACCAGATAAATGTGATCACAGGACACGCGTTACCGTACCTGCTTTATATTTCTCAGCTATTGGCCAATAAGTACAAATTGCAGGTTTGCTCTTGAATATACGTGGCCTTTATCTCTTTCTTAAACTAGACCGATGTGGATAACTATTAAAGTTACCTAAGAGTCAACAGATTGAACTTCAGTATTGCGTATATGTAGATATTTCTTTTTCTAACTTTGTAGTAGGGTCAGGCCTTAGGAAAACGTCACACATTAAAAAGAAAATCCCACGTTCTGGACTATCGCAAGTAATGTAACATTATACATGTACGTTTATGTATGAAACTGTAATGTTAACATAGTTCTAATAATAACAACAATAATAATAAAAAACGACAGTGAGGCATTTGTTACCTTCCGTCCTCGTCAAAGGATTTCGTGTTACGCTAAGAAGTCGTGTGTCTGCAACCGCTTTTCATTCTGCTATTCCCTTTGCCCCTTTATCAAAATCTATTACGCGGCGCAGAAAAACGTGCGTTTATACGTGTATGTGTGTTTGCGTTGGAGTATCAAGCCCACGAGCGCTACAAGACCACGTTACCACTATAAAATACCGGCTGACACCAATGTCAGACAATTAGAAATCCGAGTCGCCGCCCAGCCATTGTCTATCACCGATAACATAGCAGTAAACTACTATGAACGACGAGTGATTCTAGACACAAGTTCCCGATTGTCGCCGTCTAATAAAAGCCTTCATTGGTGATGGTGGCACGCCAGTCCATCAGGCGAGCCGAATGCATGAGTGCTATGGTACGTACAACAACGGCACTTGTCGCACCAACAAGCGTTGCAGCAAAGATGTGTTCTTATTGTCATTGTTCTTTACGTAGTAATAGTCCAACGGCGAAGCTACCATCTTTAGCGTCTCAGTACGTAATAGACCGTTCAAAACGTTGGAGAAATAACATCGCACAGACTAAAAGCTGGCGAGCCTCACATGCATTTCTGTATCCCCGCATGAAAAGAGACGATGTCACGCAATAGATGGTGGACACCCCCGCCCCCACCCCCCACCCGGCTTTCATGACTCGAGACATACTGGTTAGCTATTATAACTAAAAAAAAACAATTAAAATCGGTATCAGCATCAACGGCGTCAGCTATTAACAACGAGCATCGTCATTTAGGCTGTCTTCCATCCTTTCTGTCCCTGCGTCATTTAAATAGGCTTCTTCCTGCTGATCGATAATATTCCATAACTACATTTTCGTCTATTGATGTGTTTTCCAGTTAGCATTAGCTAGTGCAGTAAATACGCACACTGTATTTTGAACAAATAAACAAGTATATTATTAGTCTGCTTAAACAGGGGCAAACAAAACTTCCCGTTTTTTATTTTTCGCTTTCTTCCTAACTTAGCTTTTGGGTGCTGACGCAGCTAAAAGTAGCCATTGCCCACGTAACAATGGCGTTCTAAATGGGAACATTATGCGTTCATAGTTGGCTTCTGTCGGTGAGGAATGATGATTAAACATTGGGGAACGTTCAGGCCACATATATAAGGAAAGTGGTTCATATACGTGGAATACATGAAGCGTCTATGACAATCCTTCAACTGATCCTAACTTCGGTTAGTACACAGGATCGACTGTTGTACGAAAAAACTCAAATAACAGCCAAAATTATTAAACAAATTCTCTATATAGAGGCTTGGTCGTTAGGGAATGCGTAAAACAGTCGTCAAGAAAATACAAACTAGATTGGAGGCTTAGGGTAAAATCCCACAGACAACATTGCATATCCACTCAATGCGAAGGTAAAACGAATTTGTGGGGGGTTCTTTGACTGGGGTTGGGAGAAGGCAAAGAGTTGCGTGTACTAAATCACATAGCCAACTACTAAGCCAACATTCAGTCAGTTTATATGACTCCAACCGCTCGATGGCCGACTTGCTTTTCAGCTGTTAAGGACGCTGAAATGTCCCGAATTTTTTCTTGTTAGTAATTCTGTTAGTGGTAATAGTAACGTAAAAAGTCTTTGCAAAGACCATAGAACGCTCAATAAAATCGACTTGTCCACGATCACCTGCGCGGAAGCGAACTCTTCTAGAATAATATCGATTAACAGATACCTTATGTTTTTGTTAAAGTTTTTTAAATGAGGTAATAACCGGCAGCTGCTTACACCCGTAATGTATCCCGTCAAGGACAATCTACCCCGTACAAATGATTTTTTTCATATATTTTAAACAAGAATTTAAGCGAGTGTCTCTCTCAGCTACTGCACTGAGCATCGTTAGAATAGGCACTTTGTTTTTATCGTACGCTGATCGTGCTGCTAGAATCATTTTTGTCGAGCAGTGTTGCAACCTCTTCTGAAGATGAGTGCTTTCGCAATCATCACTATTAATAATTTTGACTGCCCAAGCTTTTAATTTTGTTGAATTTCTAATCTCAGCTGTTGAAGCTGGCCGCCTTATCACTTGGCTATTTGAGCCTTTTGCCAGTAAAATTTGTCCTGTACAGAATCAAAGTAAGCCGCGCAAGTTTCAGCATTTCGGCAGTCTGCCAACCAAACCGTCCCGAAGTTCGTGTTTTGATGGCCGGCATCCGCAACTCTTTGTTTCCGGGCCGGACAGGCAGGGGTGACGACGCGGCGAGGTAGCTGCATTTGAATTTCTTCCCCCGAAAAAACCCACGTATGATTAGTACACGGTAAAATGATCTGTACTCTTTTTAACTGTGTGTGATAGTCGGATATGGAGCCTTACTTGTGTTGTAGTTTCAGTTCGACCGATTCTGATTCAAGTATCTGATGGTCAACAATGGATCAAAAATCTTCATTTGTGGTAACTGACCTTAATCATTTCAGTATTTACTGATGAGCGCTTCATTAACGAAGCCTAGTTGACGGTAATTATAAAAATAGTAATAATAATAATAATAATAGGCGTCAGTTAGCCGTTTGTCTGTAGCATAATTCTTCATTAACTAATTAGTGATCGTTACCGTTAAATATCTTCTGCCTCTTCTCGAATCTTCCTAATCTATAGCGAAAGTATATTTATAGGAGCTTAAGCTACGCGATAGCAACGGTAACTAAGATCAAGACGCATCTACCGTTTCGTTCCGGTACTTTTCTGCTTTTTTGTCGCTGTTACTGCTACAAATCGCTAGACCGCCGCAGTAGTAGAAAGCCGCAGTATATAGGTTCGAGTCTGTTAGATTGCAGTGTACTTCCGGATAAGCTCCCGTGAGTGAGTAACCCATTTCTCTGTAGGCTGTATGGGCGTTGAGGTTGCTAATCGAATGGGTCTATGCCATGCCCGTACGACGTTAGGGTCCATCGGCAAAGCTTTACATACGCTACTCTTTAGCGATTAACGCTAGCTAATTGATTAGGCCAATCTAGCGATTTGCCGCTTCCTTCATAACCAAATTAAAATCGTGTACGTTCACGTTATTTTTACGCTGTCCACTTATTGAACTTATTGGGCGAATTACACCGTTCACGTATTCTGACATGATCATGCCCTTTAAATCGTTGTTTTCTATTTCTATCGTCTATTTCTGACGGCGCCTATTTTCGTGCATACTTTTATTATTACTAGGATTTCGTCTCTCTGATAAGTGTTTTCTTTCAGTGTTTTAAACTGTAGCAAAAAAACAGGCTCTTGTAACTGAGTGAATCTCCCGTAGGCCCAAGCGACTTTCTAAACACCCTGTACACGCACACACAACGGAACTACTATATAAATATCGTAGTTCCATTGTCTTTTTTGCCAATGTTGTTTTATCTCGCATGATATTTTCTTTCTACCGGATGACGCAGAAACAGAAGAATATCCTCTGCGATGTTGCCCTGATTTGCTATATGAACGTTGGCATTAATTGTGTAATTGTTGCTTTGTTCTATTAGATGTGTGTTAACAATAAAAAGAAAGCAACTGAAAATCCAGGCGGAGGGGACAAGGCGGGAAGGTGCATGTTTTCTCGGTAAGAGCGAGCCAAAAGAGAAAGCCCAGGAAGGACAACAGGACGTCTCCCTTCTTCTTTTTACTTCACCCGTCTGCTCATCACTGTTGCACAGGGACCGCACGCAACAACGGTGAGTTCGGCCATTGCATGTTGCTTTGTTTAATTATAACGTACCGAACCGCTGCTGTTATTAGGCGATGCCATTACTACGGCTATTCTGTTAATACTAGGCCTGTTATTAATTTCGTTACTATTATAACACTTGGACACCTCTCGCGTCAGTTTATATATGTATATAATTGCAACGTAATATGACAGTGATATGGAAACCTATAATAATTGATTAGATTTGACTTCAGCTGCCATTTACTTAACTAATAATAAGAAATAAACCTCACATTAATTTAGCATTATTGTGAATTTACTGAAAACTTCTACAATCTTCTATCAGTTGACGTACGTTATGTTTCTTCATTACATAGTTGTTACACTACATAACAGCCGAACGCAACGTAACTTGATCTTTAAGTCTTTAACTGCTTCAAGTTACGATAAAGTTACGATCTTTTGGCTGTTTCGGGTGTCCGGACACTGGGCCAGCGACTTCTGTATGGAAGCATTATCGACGATTTCAGCCCCGATATTCAACGTTAGTGTATTCCACAGTCTAGCGGACACAGAAAACTGAGACCGAAAAGAATTGTCTATAGAGGTCTTCCACTTAGGATTTCTGGCTTA